TCATCTTGCAAGTTGGATACACTGCTCATACCTACCAGCTTGTGAACATGACAATAAAGGTTTAACTGACTGCTAGTGTTTTACTGGAGGCAGTACATGGTAAATTATCATGCATGTCTAAATGCATGATGATTTATCGAGTATATTATCACTAATGATATACTTGACGAAGAAAACAACCACCTCGTTAGCGTAGCGTTCCGCATTTTGGCTATTTAATGTCAGAATCACAGTAGAATTATAATGAAAAGGTATCTCGCCCCTCATTTGCATATCAGGTCAATGGCCATGTCGCAGTCTTCATTTGTAGGCGATCTGGCTTATGGTGAGTATAGCCTGAGTTTCTCTCTGTCTCTGTCTCTGTCTGTCTCTGTCTGTCTCTGTCTCTTCTCTGTCTCTGTCTCTGTCTCTGTCTCTGTCTCTCTGTCTCTGTCTCTGTCTCTGTCTCTGTCTCTGTCTCTGTCTCTGTCTCTGTCTCTGTCTCTGTCTCTGTCTCTGTCTCTGTCTCTGTCTCTGTCTCTGTCTCTGTCTCTGTCTCTGTCTCTGTCTCTGTCTCTGTCTCTGTCTCTGTCTCTGTCTCTGTCTCTCTCTCTCATATATATATATATTATATATATAAAATGGTCTAGGTTGATGTCCGGGAAGTATATATGTATGTACCAGACATGAAATATTGAGGTGAGCCACCTTTAATATTAATCTGGCTTATCTGTGATATAGATAATAGAGATCTGGCTTATGGTGAGTATAGCCTGAGTTTTATCTCCTCTCTCTCTCTCTCTCTCTCTCTCTCTCTCTCTCTCCTCTCTCTCTCTATATATATATTATATATATATATATATATATATATATATATATAATGGTCTAGGTTGATGTCCGGAAGTATATATATATGTACCAGACAGGAAATATTGAGGTGAGGCCACAATCATTTTAATCTTTGGGTTATGGATTTTATTTCTGAAAATCCTAAGACAGGTGGTAACAAGGTAAATGATTGTGTGTTTTGATTTTTCTTTTTTTCTTTTAGTGCAGTTTATTGATTTCTGGAAACGTGGTAGGCGGCAAAGAAAAAAAAAATAAATGAAATAAAATGAAACAAAACCACCCTGTCTGGAATCAGCATTGTTCATGTGCTCTCAGACAGGAATTATTTCCTTTGATAAAACCGGTGACGTTTTGTGCTTGAGACAAACAACATATGCCATCGCTTGTAGAAGTTTCCATGGGCTGAATATACAGACTTCGACTCCAGCACCTTCAGATATATCTAAAATCGCGCATACATCACCCCGAAACCGAATGAAAATGAGTTTGTCATGTTTCGTTACATCTGAATTGATTTACTTTCAAGATGGTTGGATATACTGAACATCGGCGGTAATGTAACAAAGTTAATTTTACAAATACTTTCATATTGTTCACCTCGGAATCGAATCGTATCAGATTAGGCGCGCGCGGGAAAAATGCAAGTCGATTTCTCGTTTATTTTTGTCTTCGAAAATCGGGTGCAGCGGATACGTAAACAAGTGAATAATATATCATCCATCACTACCGTTACCGCGCATTTTTGAACACCCTGAAAATTTAACTACACATGTTACGACTTTTGAAAATAATTTATAAGCATATGTAAGAAAGTTTCCAGTATGATATATGTATGCGTGAAATTATGGTGTATGTGCGATAGGCCAGTCTGCCTTAAACTTGTTTCGTTCTCTTTAATGTATTTTCTTTAGATGATTTTCGGGATGTCTATTCTATTTTGCTATCTGGTAGATCTAGAGAGTTGTTAATTTAGTTTGATCTAGAATATAATGTCATTTTGTTACTTTATCAGAAGCTATTAAATATTTGGTATTACGCAGCATTGGTGTAGATAGAAAATTTGACGGGAGTGGGGGGGCAAGATCTATAGATTTTCCGACAAAACAATTTGATCAGAGCCATCGTTCAATGCTGAAAGGAAATTGAAGACAATCTGTTCAATTTCATCCTCAATGACTGGCAATGCAGTGGCAAGGATGCACTGATCTGAAACAGCAACTTTTTATGTAAACGAACTTGTCATAACTTCCGTGCTGAATTGACTTCAGAAAGGGAAACTTAAACTGATGTGACTTGGACGGAAACAGGGAGAATTGAGTGGTATTTAATTTAGATTTGCTAAAGTGAACATGCACAACACAAGAAAACAGATTTCCGTCACATACACACACAAAGCATGTACACACTTAAGCGTACACAACACACGCACACATACACATACACACAGTCAGTGTTTGTTCAGGATTCATACTCTGATAGGACAAATACCCGTAAAAACGTAACGAACATCGAAAATATCACCCTCAAAAAGAATGAAATAAAAGATCTACTAAAAACAATTAGACAAGACCAAAGCAGAGGGACCAGATGAAATTTCTAACTGGGTTCTCAGGGAATTTGCCGCAGAACTATGTACTCCCTTGTTGTTAATATTCCAAAATTCAGTGAGGCAACGATAACTACCAAAAAGCTGGAAATATTACAAGAAAGAGACGGCTGGGTGGATTGTGTACTTGTACCGATTATGTTGACTATTTTCGTCAATGATTTAGTCAGTGATAAACCCTGTCAGTTATCTGAATATGTTTGCAGATGACTCATACAAAAAAGATTACAGACAATGTCTCATGCCAACGCCTCCAAAGTGACATCGAGAACTTATTCACGTCGAGTTGTGCATGGAAAACGGTATTCAATGCAAAAAAATGCCACGTAGTCAGGTTCGGAGAAAGTAGAAATCGCACACTATTCCCATGTAAATTAGGAGACGCAATATGAAGCACAGCTGACATGAAAAAAAGAAAAGATTTAAGGGTAACCATAAATATAAACCTAAACCCAAATGATCATATAAATGAAAAGGTCCACAAAATGCTAGGACTGACTGCCAACACGACGAGGGCATTCGTGTATGTGGATGACGATATGGTAAAGATGATCAATATAGCAATCATAAGACCAGGTCGACACTTATAAAAGGATATTGGCAAACTGGAAAGAGTTCAAAGAGCGGCCACAAAATGGGCACCTACTCGAAGGGATGTGAGTTACGAAGATAGGCTACATAAATTAGGACTTACTACCTTGGAAGAAAGAGAGAAGAAAAAGGAAAAGGAAGAGTGAAGATAGATAAAGATGACTTTCTGGTCTTGAATACAAGAAGGACAAGAGGACACAACAAAAAGTTGCAAGTAAAAAGAGGTGATAAAGATGTAAAAAAAACTTTAGTTTCCTAAACAACTATAGATGTATGGAACAGTCTCTCCAAACACAGTGTGTGTCAAAAATGTGCATCAATTTAAAAAGTTATACGACAATTTAAATATAGCAGACGGGACCACATGAGCTTAGCTCTTCTCCCATATTGAGAGAACTAGGTAGAATCAACTAGGTAAGAACTCACGTAAACATGTAACTTTGAAAATCGCTAGGAAATCCCTCGAAATCCGGAAATCCATGGCAAATGTCTGGAAATCTGGAAATTTATTAAAAAGTGGTTGGGATTTCGGAAATCCCGGGAATTTCGTACGCTATTTTGGGTAGTGAAATGCCCCTCGCACAGACACACACACACACACATATACACACGCTAAAAAATATATCTAGTCGGGAGTTGATAAAACCGAAACGATCTCAAGGAGTTGAGTCGGAAAGGTTGGTACTTGTTGTCAAAGGTATATGATGAAGATAGGACAGCGTCTATCCCTGGTACTGGTAAATGTGCGAGCTCTGTAGAGGGTTGCCAATTCGTGAGTTAATGCAAACCATTTGATACTCAGCTGACCGTGTCCAAGAAGAGGAAATGGTCGGTAGTTAGGGTAGATAGTTAGTTACCACGTCCATTTCATTACCATTACTTAAATAAAAGAAAAAAGAAATTAAAAAAAAAAGAACCATAACTGTTTCATTAAACGGCATGGCGTTAGGGAATCGATGGATGTCGAGCCCGACAGATTTACGGGGTCTGATAATGTGGAAATCCTGGTGTTTCTACCCAAGGTCTATATACGTGAGGTCTCGTCACCTCTGAGTTCTGCGCGGCTTGGGGGTGCTAGGTAAGGCCTATGACGTCATCAGGGAAATTAGAGAATGTTAGGTTGGGGAAAGGAGAGCATAGAAAACGGCAGCAAAAGGATGAAACACTAAAGTCATTTTAAGTGCTGGCTCAATCTGGCGAACTGCACACTGGACTCACTTTACAGGCGATGATGAAAGGCGACTATGAGGAAAACGATAATGATAAGAATAACGACAAAAACAATAATAACAATAATAACGATGTATATATATTATATATGTCTATATACATGATATATGTATGCATATATATATAATAATATATATATATATATATATATATATATATATATATATGTGTGTGTGTGTGTGTGTGTGTGTGTGTGTGTGTGTGTGTGTGTGTGTGTACACCCACACACACACAAACAAAACACATTCACTCACAAATATGTGTCTTTATGTGTGTGTGTATGTATATATATATATGTATACACAAACACACATATATATATATATATAATGTGTGTGTGTGTGTGTGTGTGTGTGTGTGTGTGTGTGTGTGTGCATACTCATATTTTGATACATAGTTCGTGTTTTTCACTCAGTTGCGCAATTTTTGTAACACATCGTATTCATGAATATACTTTCGTGAAAGGAAACTGGAAATTGGATCAGTTCGCCCTAAGTCCCCCTGTGTCACTTTGGCCTCGTCATTTAGCAGCAAAGCCTCCTTGACATCTTCGAAAGGGCGTCAGTGCCAAAGGCTAGACACTAGATCTGATGAATGGTCTTGCGGATGTAAATTGAATTTGAAGGTAGATAACAACCCTTCCTAGAAATGGGCGATAACAGCTTGATAGCACCAGTCAAGGGCAGTGATGATATCTTTTACATCGGCGCTTTTATCTGAATGTCTGAGATTAGTCGGTGTTTTGGCAGTGCACAGTCTGTGCGGCGCCTCCTCTGTTGCTGTGAGTATTGAGGCGTAAATTGAAAAAAATGTGCAATCTTGTGCCAAATACTTACACATGGTAGGTAGTTATCGATACTGGTGTTTATTGGTATTGTAGAAGCATGTTCAACGACCTCATGCATTCCTAGTGTTAAAGTTGATACTTGTCATATTACTTTACAGGATACAATGATCATTTACGTGAAGACGCTAACAGGGAAAACGTTGACAATAGAAGTCACACCTCAAGATACCGTGGAAGTATTAAAAGCAAAAATACAAGACATAGAAGGCGTACCAATTGACCAACAGAGGCTCATCTTCTCCGGAAACCAGCTCGAAGATGAGAGAACACTCGAGGACTTCAATATTAGCTCTGAATCTGTGTTGCATCTAATCCTTCGTCTGAGAGGAGGAGGCATCCCTATGTTCTTCCTCAATGTGGCAATGCCATCATGCAGTGTGATTCAACAAGTTGTCAATGAACAGACGACTGTTAGCGAGGTAAGAAAGTTACTGGAAAAAGATCCATCCTTAAAGGGCCGGAAGTATCGTCTGATGGTGGCTCAGCAGGAGATGGACAGCAGCAAGACCTTGGAGTATTATGGCATCACGTCAGAGGCAGTCGTAAGATTGGAATTCATAGAAGATAGTTGCTGTGTTATGTGAGTTATTCATAGAGCTACTTCATATTTGCCCCTATGTGCATCCATCACATCCTGATAAAGAAGAGGCATTTCAACTGGGCTGGAACAATTTGGAATTGGCTTTTAGTCCGGGGACCCAGAGACATTTCTTTCACATCTCGAGTACAAAAGGTTTGGGGCCTGGAATGTATGCATCTATGATAGGAGACCCCAAAAAGGCAATTCTTAAGTTCTACAATTCTGCGCAGCAACCAGGGGGCGCCACGAAAGACCCCCCAATTGTGACTCTTAAATCACAATTTGAGTACATCCATGAAACATAAGGCAATGTATTCCTTAGGTCATCCTAAATCAAGATCAGTCACTCTTAAGTATCCATTTCATGTATTAATCCATTTAAGAAAGAAAAATATACTCATTGACCCCGTCCCTGGCGAGGTGAGTGTTAATTCACAATTTGATTACATTTTTGGTCTCAAACTGTTCAGTAGATCATCATGAATCAAGAACAGCAATTCTTAAGAGTCCATTTCATGCATAAACCCACTTAAGAATGCAAAATGTACTCTTTGAGACCCACCCTTAGGAATGTGTCAATAATATCCACACTGACAAAAGGGACAATCATAGACTGTATACAAACACAATGTTTATTATTATTTTTTTATAAACTACACCATGTCTGTGTAGCGTATATATATATTTGTATATGTAAATGAATATATATATATATATATATATATATATATAATATATATATATATATATAATATATATACAATATATATATACATATTGTAAAAGGATTATACAACATATTTACTATATTGCATGATTAATTTGTATAGAATTACGGTATCGGGATATAAATTGATACAATTAACCTAAAAGTAAAATAAATACTGCTAAAATATTGTAAAATGTTTATACATGTTAAAAAGATGATTTACGTATGTTTATGTGTATAAAAATTAGTTACTACGTACCCCCTTACTGTTATGCGCATGCGCGTAGGTATGACTCACCTGGGGCCGGATTCTCAAACGCGTTAAGGCGCCTTATCTCCTTAAGGCGCCTTAACTTACGGTCGAGCGATCTTACATGCACATACACAGAGCAAGGGACCCGCTACATTGGTGCGAGTGAAGGCGCCTTAGGTTAAGGCAGGGAAGGGGAGAGCAGCCTTCCGCGCTTGTCGGCGATCGGGAAATCAAAACTCTTCGCTCTTATACAAGGGAAATACAGCAGAACGGTCAAGGCCTCCAGCGCGCCTTAACGTAAGGCTTTTTTGAGAATCCGGCCCCTGGTCTTTTTACGCCTTTCAATCGGCCACTTTGCCGAACCACTTGTTCGAGTGAGCGCTGTGAGCCACGCCTCGTGAGTAGTCGTTTGTTCGAGTGAGCGCTGTGAGCCACGCCTCGTGAGTACACGTTGTGATTAATACGCTAATTCGTATAGCGTGGTATAATGTGATCTATTAACTTTAAAGGAAATATATTCATACTTGTCGTTTTGTACAAACATGGATTTGCTGACGCCAGGTGCCATGACACTCAATCTCTCGTGATCCCGAGGCTGATCGGGGGAGCGGCAAGCCGGAACAAGCCCCGTGACACCTGGGTCGTTGACTCGCTCGCTGGGACGTGGATATTTGGACATGTTTGTGACATGTTTTCATGTTTATACCCTTGAAAATTTATATGCTGATGGAAATATGATTCTTCTTATATCCCATTTTAATGAAGGTGAATGACCCAACTGGATGATGTAATTGAGTCAATGACGAAGTGCACCATTTAAAACTAAAGATTCTTTACACACACACACACACACGCACACACAGACACACACACACACACACACACACACACACACCACCACACACACACACACATATATATAATATATATATATATATATATATATATATAATATATCATAACTTCAGCCACAAGTATACAGTAACATTAAAAAAAAAAGAAAAAGTTCGAAAAGTAAATGGAACAAGGAAGAAAGAAAAAAAAAAAAAAAAAAAAAAAAAAAAAAAAGAATAAAAAATTACAACGTGTGATATAAATAAGCGGATAACCAACTATAAATCAATATGACAATGCAGAAATAACAGAACATAAAATAAATTGTTAAAATGACGTGGAAGACCGATTGAGGGCGGGCAAACCTATCATCAACAGATTATCTTAACTTTAAATACAGCTGCGACAGACCTCTAGGTACGCTTTATCGTTCAATCCCCCAACCACACCCCCCCAACAGAGCCACACCACCGCCCCTCCACCCCCCCGCCCCGCCCCCCCCCCCGCCCAACCCCTCCCACACAAAAGAAAAAACACACACACGCCACCAGACCCCAGACCAATCCAAACCAACAACACAAACAGCAACCCACCAACCACCCACACCTAAAACCCCCCCCCCCCCCCCCCCCCCCCCCCCCCCCCCCCCCCCCCCCCCCTCCCACCCCCCCCCCCACCCCCGCCCCGGACCACCCCCACCCCCCCCCCCCACCCCCCCCCCCCCCCTGCCCCCCTCCCCAAAGACGACGGGAGTATTTTTAGTAAAGAATTATAGTATAGTTTGAAAGTTTAGAAGGTACAAGAAAAAGGAAAAAGAAAAAAGAGAATGTATGTAATGGATGGATTTGAATTAAAGATTTTTATTTATTAGTGCAAAGTTAGTTTTTTTAAGTCGGGAATATGATATAATGGACTAGTTTATGATTAGAGTCTTAAGTTTGAGAATATATTAAGTTAGTTTAGTAAATAAGGAATTGATAATTACATTTAGAATTCTCAGTAACTTTGTGTTTTGATAATCGTGGTTATCCTCCAAGTATGTATTAATTAATTATTTATTTGATTAAATTTTGCTTTGACAGTAAATTGCTTGATGATATTAATTTAGTGTTCTAAGTGCTTGCTTAGCATATTGTCTTTAATGAGGTATATATCTGGATTTTTTTTTTATATGTATTAATTTACTTTTTAATGGTGATCTTAACCTTTGATTTATGGATGGGCTTTATAATGATTATCACCATTATTATCATTAATGTCATCATTATCATTATAGTAATTGTGCAAAGATATTGAAGTAGTATTTCAATGATTTATTGAGTATTGCATATAATTTCATATTTTTTGTTGGATAATTTGTTGATAATTAATATAAATAATTGCTTAAATTTTCATATTGAGCACTAAAGTTACTTGTTGTGATTTTGTAACTGGTAACATTTTGCTTTCAGTGAATTTATATTTTATTTCTGTTTGTCTTAATTGGAAAGTTGTTGAAATGTTGCATATTCAGATTGGTGCAGTGATTGTATGTAATTATGAAGAATTTAAATATTTTTTGACTGGCACATTAATTTGTATGATTGGTATTGTATATTGGCTAATTTGATTCGATTAGTAAATAATATATGAAATTTCACACAATTTTCTCAGCGGAATAATACAAGTTTACTGAATTAAATATGTGAGAACAATATGACTAATATGAAACATGAAATATGAAATATGAGAATAATATCATATACTGAAAAGAAAATGATATAAAGAGGGCTACAGCATATATACGTATATATCTTTATATGTATATACATACATATATATATATATATATATATATATATATATATATATATATATATATATATATATAATACTATATATAGCTAAAGATATATTCATATACATATGTATAGACTCTCACACACATACGCACATATGTGGAATTCATGATGAACGGATTGCAACAGGAATAACGAAGGGAAGGGCAAGAAAACACACGAATATGCCGAAGGCCTTTTCGCTATTGCCCTGACGAAGCAATAGCGAAAAGGCCTTCGGCATATTCGTGTGTTTTTTTGCCCTTCTCTTCGTTGTTCCTGTTGCATACGCACATATGTACTTGGAATTCATGCCGAACAAGTTGCAGAGGCAATACGGATGTGTTCTTGTTCTTCCTTTCGTTACCCCTTTTACATATATGTATTTATATGCACGTGTATGTACGTTTACTTGTATATGCATACATGCGTACATTTAATGCACCCACTGTGTTAAATTTGTTCTTTGATGTTAATTTGAATTTACTTGTGTTAGAAATGTTATTGACATCGGCACAAAAAGGTAAATGAAACAACAAACATTATATCCATTATTTTCTTTCTGTTTCGTTTCACAATAAGAATGTACCATCGAAAAAATAATCGAAATCACACAAAAACACACAGACTCTCTCTCTTTTTCTCACACGCACATATATACACACAGAGAGACTCTCTCTCTCACACACACATGCACATAGACACACACACATACACACTTACAGTCACACACACAGACTCTTTCTCTCTCACACACACATTCACATAGACACACATACACACTCACAATCACACACACATACAGACTCTCTCACACACACATTCACATATGTGAATGTGTGTGAGAGAGAAAGAGAGTCTGTGTGTGTGTGATTGTGAGTGTGTATGTGTGTCTCTTTCCCTCTCACACACACATTCACATGGACAAACATACACACTCACAATCTCACAAACAAACACAGCCACTCACATGGGAAACGGAGTGTCGGATGAAGCGACGACGACACTAAGAAGTCATCGCGAAACCTCCATCCTGATCACAGAGTCTCCAGTGATCCCGTAATCCACGAGAGCGCTGTCGTTTCGCATTTCCTGCTGCCCCACCATCAACCGCTGTCTGCTGGCGTTTACTCCAGCGCCCTCGTGCTCCAGTATGTGCTTCAGCTGCCCGATGGTCGTGCCGGGGCTCACGACCACCTTCACGACCCCTCCCGAAGGTGTAAACACGCTGAGGAGGAAGCCGGGGAAACTGATTTTGCCGATCATGATGGCGATGCGGAGGCGGGTCGGAAAAGGAAGGTCTTGTCTTTTCGTCTCCGATTCAGTTCCAGCTCGTTACTTCTTGACCTGCAGTGGAACACAACGAGTTAATGGGACGTGAAAATCCGTGTGCTCTTCGTCACGGTGTGGAACTGTCAGCGTACTCTCTGCGGCGGCGACCATTCCTTTACCTTCTCGTATCCTGGTCGGACTGAGGACACTTGCGGTCACCGTCGCTTTATATGGCTCCGCATTCTGAAGGTCACGCGCTGCCTGTTTGCCTGTTCTCTTCTGCATTTTTTTTTCCAATGCACATAGTTTTTTGCGCTCCGGATCTTGCGCTATCAAACAGGAGTCCTTGTTTGACGGCGGTCTCCCTCCACCCCAGTTTGTGCGACTTTATTAAGAGTAGGTAACGTGCTGTTCATGCGATTTGGTGCAAAACAAGGTAACAAACAAATTAACAAACAAGAGGCCTTCAAATCAAACCTGTGCACGCGCTTATCATCATTAACATACATTTTTATGATAACATAGATAATGGAAGATATCCTCTGAGCCAAGCAAGCCAAAAAAATAGAGGCTAAACGACAGTCGAAAAAGTAATGGGAAATGGAATTCCACGTAAGTACTTATCTTGACTTTGGCGGGAAGTGCCCCGTCCTCCTTACCCAGTGTGACGTCATCGACTCTAAGCTACAAAACGTTTTGTCTCATCGGCTCTCCCTCTCTCTCTCTTTCTTTCTTCCTCTCTCTCTCTCTTTCTTTCTTCCTTCCTCTCTCCCTTTCTTTCTTCCTCTCTCTCTTTCTTTCTTTCTTCCTCTCTCTCTCTCTTTCTTCTCTCTCTCTCTCTCTTTCTCTCTTCTCTCTCTCTCTCTTTCTTCTTCCTCCTCTCTCTCTCTTTCTTTCTTCCTCTCTCTCTTTCTTCCTTCTCCTCTCTCTCTCTTCTTCTTCTTCCTCCCTCTCTCTCTTTCTTTCTTTCTTTCTCCCTCTCTCTCTTTCTTTCATTTTTTTTAACCTTTATTTCTTACAAATTTTTTATATCAATTTTTGAAAGATTTTATATCTAGATTTAAAAAAATCTTCTAGACCTATTACGTGTATGATCATATTTGTTCTTAGAGGACTGATGGGCCACAAACAATCTGGTCTAGGGAAAGAGGTATAGGTAGATAGGTAGATAGATAGAGAAGGAGAGAGAGAGAGAGAGAGAGAGAGAGAGAGAGAGAGAGAGAGAGAGAGAGAGAGAGAGAGAGAGAGAGAGAGAGAGAGAGAGAGAGAGAAAAGAGGAGAGAAAGAAAGAAAGATGAGAGAGAGAACGAAAGAGATAAAGGGAGGGAAGGAGAAAGAAAAGGAGAGAGAGAGAAAGAAAGAACGAAAGAGATACAGAGAGAGAGAAAGAGAAGGAGAGAGAAAGAAAGAGACCGAAAGAGATGCAGAGAGAGAGGAAGAGAAGGAGAGAAAGAAAGAAAGAGGAGAGAGAAAGAAAGATAACGAAAGAGATACAGAGAGAGAGAGAGAGAAAGAGGAGAGAGAACGAAATAGGTACAGAGAGAGAGAGAAAGAGATAAAGAAAAGGAGAGAGAAAGAAAGATAACGAAAGAGATACAGAGAGAGAGAAAGAGAGAAAGAGAAGTAGAGAGAAAGAAAGAAAGAGAGAGAGAGAAAGCGCATCCCTTTTAGCGCAAAACGTTTCGAAGCGAAGAGACGCTGGTGACGTCACACTGGGCCTCGCGCGGGGAGGATGGCGCACTTCCCGTAGACGACAGATTTCCTATTATTTCCTCTGCTGTAGCTACACCTCTATTTCAAGCACCCTTGGTATTAGTGTCAGGTATTAGGAGAAAAAGTTGCATTGTTATGGTTTCCCCCAAAGATATTACCAGTCGATTGTGTTTACTGGAACACGTTTGCATGCGGGAAAAAAAGAACTGTGCAGATAGAGCCGTTGATGGATATATCACACGGACTGCAAAAGCCAGTGATGACGTTAGAATTCGTGTTGGTTTTGTAGAATGTATTTTTTTTTATGCAATAACCTTTATATATGTGTGTGTGTGTGTGTGTGTGTGTGTTGTGTGTGTGTGTGTGTGTGTGGTGTGTGTGTGTGTGTGTGTGTGTGTGTTGTGTGTGTGTGTGAGATCGTTTTTTTTTTTTTTTTGTGGTGAACGCATTGTAGCTTGTTCTAAGGTCTTCCTAGCTTTAGAATATTGTGCACTTAAACAGAGAAATAACAATGACAACTCCACATCCGTTGCTATGTTAGATACGTTTCTAATGTCTATTTCTAAAACGAACAAAGTTATTTTCCAAAAGAAATATGTCGTTTTGTATGTGCTCAAAACAGAAAATTAATCGAAGGGTGATGCAAAATATACAGTGAATAAACTGTAACTATCTGAACCTTATTGAATATTTTGCATCTGGCAACTGCTCCGCTCGATGCCAAGAAATCTCGTCTTTGTGTGTATTTATTTATTATTATTTTTTTTACTTTGTGTGCTTTCAGGATCGATGGAACAGTGATATGAAACAAGCATCAAATAAAAAGGCTAATATGAATATAAATACCCCTCTCTTACCAGGAGAAGAAAATAAATGAAAAAAAGACCTAAGAATAGAGTATTTGGCATCGCTGGGAGAATGCATTATGTGTGATCTTGACTTCAGTGTCCAAGCTGAAACGTACTGAAGTTCTGCTGCATTCCTCTTTCCGTCTTTTCACGAGGTAAGTTAAGTGCCTAATCCTTTGGGAACCAGGCTCTTATAGCTAGAAGTAGGCTCAGAACCATACAAGATAAGGGTCAGGGTTTTACATTACTCGTGGGCTAGGGAGAAAACTATCGATAACGGGGAAATGCAAATGTACAACTGACACTCTATCACCCCTGATGAAGTGGAAATCGTCGCTGAAATGTTGTGCGAAATTGCCCTGAAATATCGTGTGAAAATGCCCTGAAATATTGTATGAAAATAGCCACGTCTCATTTTACTCCGGCACCTACTCCTCTCCTCACCAGGGACATGAGATGCAGGGAAAGCTTTACGACTGGTGGAAACATTACCAAATTATTGTCATTATTTGTTGTTGTTAATAACAATAATGATAATACTTCCGCCGTTATTATTGGAAAAAGGCGTCACCACTGAATCGAACAAAACTAACCTTATAGCCTTGAAGATATTTAATTAACAATCACTGTTCATTAAATAAACGTCTCGCAAATTAATAATAACGAAGTTATTTAATTCTTAAAAAAAAAAATAATAATAAAACGAGGTGCGGGAATACTAACCAAATTCTTCACTGGCACGAGCTGGGTCTCTCGTACCCGTACTGTTCCTGTTCTCTCGCCTGTGACGTCACGGCCAGTGTCACGATTTCATTGGTCAATTGTTTGGCGGTTAATTTAATAGCCAATGAGGAAAGAATTCACGAGGGAAACAGCCAATGAATGAACATTAGCTAAAATAGAAGCTATGAAATTCAATTTTCAAATTAGTCTCGCCATGACCCGTGTGTGTAGAATGTGATATCAAACCATTCCAATTTATAAAAAAAAAAGTTTTTTTTGTAGACGATGAGGCTAGCTTGAAAATATTACGTGAACACGGAGTTTTACCCTCTGAATCAAGGTCTATATAAGTACAAAACTAAATTCACGTAGAATATGTGATATAGGCCTATAAACAATCGCTGATAATCATCGCCTGTAAGATCTGTCTAATATACAAATCGTTCAATGTGCCGACATCTAAAATTACTTAAGTATCAGCTCATTTACCACCGTTTTCTATCATCTCCCTTCCAGCCTACCATGCTCTAATTCCCGCCGCCCCCCCTTGCTCTCAGCTCTCTCCAAATGACGTCATAGGCCTTATCACCCAAAGCTGCGCAGACGACAGACAGGACCTGTACTTATAATTGACCTTGCTCTGAATTGACCTGCGATCGGCCGTCGCGTCGCTCGTGCTCACGCAGACCTCTCCAAGGTCTATATAAGTACTTATTTACACTATTTCTTCTTATTGTTATTGCTATTGCTATTCTTGTAATTATTATTATTTTTATTATTATTATTATTACGATTATCATCTCCATCAGCATTATTATTAATATTATTATCATTATCACCATTTACATCATCAGCATTATAGTTACTTCAATAGTATTATAATTACTATAGCTACTACCTTCATTACTATAATTGTTATTATTAGTAGTACAACTGCCATTATTGATTATTATTAATGATATTATTATTATTGTGATCATCACTGATATTTTCATTATTATTAACAACTTGTTATCACTGATATTTTCATTATTATTATTGTTATCATCATTGATATTTTCACTGTTATTATGGATATCATCACTGATATTTTCATTATTATTGTTGTTATCACTGATATTTTCATTATTATTGTTATCACTGATATTTTCATTATTATTGTTATCATCACTGAAATTTGCATTATTATTGTTATTATCCCTGATATTTTCATTATTATTATTGTTATCATCACTAATATTTTCATTATTATTGTTGTTATCACTGATCTTTTCATTATGATTATTGTTATCATCACTGATATTTGCATTATTATTATTATTATTAGTAGTAGTATCATTATTATCTTTATCATTAATATTGCCATTATTATTATGATAACATTATCATCATCGTTACCATTTTCATTGGTATCATTATCATTGTCATTTTTTATCATTAAGATTATTTGAGGAAGGGAATGGCTAAGTACATATTGTATAGCAATAGTGACCTCGTTATGTTAGGTCATATGCGGAGGGGGCTGGAGAAATATAATGATGATATATAATGAGGATGATGATGGTAATAATAGTAATAATAATAATAATAATAATAATAATAATAATAATAATAATAATAATAATAATAATAATAATTATTATTATTATTATTATTATTATTATGATAATGATAATGGTAATAATGATAGTGATAATATTGATAATGATAATGCCTATGATAATGATAATGCTATTGATTATGGTATTGGTAATGATAATAATAATATTGACACTAATGATTATAATGATAATAAAGATAATGATAACGGTAATAAGAAATATATAATACTAAAGATGATAATAACAAGAATAACAATACGATTACGTCATAACGGAATCCACTTCTCCATTTTCGTATATTTCAGGTTTATGGAATTATAATTCAGATCTTAAAGTAACTGAACGGCCGTCACTGGATTTTCATTATTATGAAATTATCACGCAATCTTCAGTTCGAATTTTTGGATATACGAAAACAAACAAAGCCATATGTATTAAATGCATGTGGTGGGGGGTGGGGCAGGACTCTCATGCATGTGTGACATGTCCGTGATATGCACAACCTCATGATGGTTCATGTAGGGGGTTCTGCGGCACGTCGGTGCAAGGTGCACAATGAGATTGATATAAAAAAAATTACGTTATGATGACATTTTCGTGACAGTCATCATCATCTCGGCGGTTGATTTCGCTTCCTTCTGTGTTGAGAGCCATGGAAATAAGAGCCTGGTTGGTCCTTAACTGTGCCTGCTATACATGGCCGCCTCGTGCCCAAAGAGTTGAGTACATTCTCTCTCTCTCTCTCTCTCTCTCTCTCTCTCTCTCTCTCTCTCTCTCTCTCTCTCTCTCTCTCTCTCCTCTCTCTCTCTCTCTCTCTCTCTCTCTCTCTCTCTCTCTCTCTCTCTCTCTCTCTCTCTCTCTCTCTCTCTCTCTCTCTCTTCTCTCTCTCTCTCTCTCTCTCTCTCTCTCTCTCTTCTCTCTCTCTCTCTCTCTCTCTCTCTCTCTCTCTCTCTCTCTCTCTCGTCGTGGTGTATCTCTCGTAGGACTAGGACGTGTTTACAGTACTGTCCTCAGACGTGAGGTCCCCGAATCCTGTGTTTACCCGCCCCTATCTGACCTCGGACAGGGAGCGGGTCACCTCCTGCCAAGGTATCAGCATGACTAGTGTTGCTAGTGGAAGTGGAACCCATAAGAGGGTAAGAAGTGATGGAAGCGTAGACATGGGTGACGAGAATAGATGCGAGCGGGAGAAGAGGAAGAAGAACGACGGGAACGAAGCAGGCAGCAGGCCCAAAAGTGCCGGTGTGAACGGCAGGGAAAGACTGCGTTTTTAATTTAAGATTTTTCAATTTTTGTTTTTATTTAAATTTAAGTATTTAAGAACGACAGGAAAAGACTGCGTCATGAGTTTCTTAGAAAAATTAAGGGTGGCCATGCAACTGGTCCGGGACCACCTGATGATTTCACCAGTGATGAAGGAAGGAAGAGAGAGGCCATCTCTCACGGTGCGGGCAGCCAGGCGGTGCAGACGTGAGACTCAGTCAAGGGACAGTGATGACTGTCCCAAAGCCTGGGGGAAAAAGTTCACCAAGGGTGATAATTTTCCGATATCCCACGATATTAGACCCGGACTTCCTACTGGACGACGATAGATTTGTGTGGGAAAAAGCGGCACACGTCCAGGGGCGAGGAGCGCGGAGTCAGCTCGTCGCCCTTGTGAAGGGGAAGTGCTAGAGGAGGTATTTATCTCTGGAGCGGGCTACAGGAGGTGGCACCGTATGTGGAGCCGCCAGGCATGTGCCTCAAGTGCTGCATGTGGGGACACAAGTCGTGGGCCTGTCAACAGGATGCTCGATGCAGGTTCTGTGGCAGGACACATGACTCAAGGGTCGGCCGGGCACAGATTGAAAGGGAAGAAAGGGTTACGCCTTGCTGCTGCAACCTGCGGAGGCCCGCCACAATGCCGGGTCTCCTGCATGCCAGGGTGAGGCCACAAATCAAGATTGCTTAGGTCGGTGAGGTCCAAGGAAGGAGAAAATGGAAAAAGGGCCGGTCACCACGCGGGGCCAGAGGGGTGTCGAAGGGACGAGGAGACAGCTGTTGTCCTTAATGCCTGGTGCATCGCCCTCCGCGGGTGGTGCCGTCGCCAGTGTGGCTTGTGATGACGGGCAGGACCAGACAGGCGCAGGAAAGTGCCGCGGAGTAGTGTTGC